GGCCGGCAACAGCCTCTTGCGCCCTGATTGGCTGGGACGCAGCTGAGGCTGTTGCCGGCCACAGTTACTACTGATTGGCCGAGATTCGATCTTAGCGGTGCCGCCCAGTTCTCGGCCAGTGGTTGGTTGTATAATTGTATAAATATCTTGGCGTGTGTTTTCCCCGCCAGGAATCGTTGTCACCTCTTTTTAATGTTAAATAAACCTGCTACTGTTTGTTAATCTTGGCTTCCGCATCCTCCTTCTGCCGAACTACAAAAAGGACCATGTATATCTTGGGTGAAGATGCTATTCTTCTGGGCAAGCAAAGCCACAGAGGAGGTGCAACTTCGGAGACCATCAAAAAGGCATTGTTGGAAGAGACCCAAAGCATGGCCTCTTTACTAGATTTGGTGACATGGGCAAAAACAATGGGGCCTAAGGATCCTTAACTCTTTTATTTTCTCATTTATCTGATTTAATTCTGCCACTACTGCTAAGGGAAATATTTATTCTGACATACCAATATTTTGATTTCACAACGTAAAATTAAATTTAACGCTACAATAGTGAAAAATGATTGAAAAGATACATTAAAATTGACAAGATCAAACCACATATTTTTATAAAAACATATTTTTAATAAATTAATGGATTCAAGTTTATAATAGACATAACAATGTAACAAAAGTCAACATCTTCTGCTATTTCATTCAGATACTATGTATTACAGTAAACCTATTTTTAGTTTACAAAAATGTGTTGGTGAAAACTATCGTAAACCATCTAAAAGTGAACATCAGTTGTTAACAGTTGTATTGCATGTATTCAAGAAGAACCTCACCATATTTTTATAATGAAACTATCCAGTTTACTAGTGTAGTCTGACATTTGTAAGCAATTAATTTTTGACTTATTAAATATGAATGGCGTCTTAAAAATGGCATTAATAAGACAAAACACCAAACAACTACAGTATTCTTTTTGATAAGAAACAAAATAGAAATTAGGCAGATCAGAGAACCCAAAATGTATTTCTTCTACCCGTTTTTTTTTTTTTTTAAAGGTTGAGATATCCAGTATTATAGGTAGAAAGGGTTTTTAGCTTTAATGCACACTATGGCTACTGGAGAAGTGCATTCCCTGCTGAGTAGTAATGCTGGTGAAACATCTTCAACTGTTGCTAGTTAGGGAAACAGATTTTGGCAGGTTGATTTGTTCAAGGAATCAAGTATAGAATTGATATAGCACACGTGATAAGTTATAGAACTCCCATCATTCCCTAAGATATTGTAGCAGTGTCAGAGTTCAGCTGTTTGTGGACATACAATCACTATAAAATGCCACAATATGTATAATAGAAAAGTCCAATAAAATCAGAACCATGTTAATAAAGAATTGCTTTTACTTAGTATGCCATGTATTTCCTTGCATTCCTTACATGCTGTCGTTGTGGATGACTATAAAAATATAAAATGTTAAATTATTCTGTAATTAATAATAAAACCAGTTTATTTTATAGAATTTGATGGAGATTCCAGCAACTCTGGATGGGTAAAATTCCATGGCACTGGTAAGTAATGTCAAAAAATATGTGCATTATCCTTCCTTGAAAGGAGTGAAGAAATTTCTATCCACCAGCCTATAAATAATTAAGAGCAGAGTTTTCTTTGTTAACATGTCAACTTCCTTAACAGAGATCCATACTACTGGTAGGAAATCTCTTTTCCATATCAATTGAAAAACCAAATTATCTCTTTGTCAGTTAGTTATGATTTTAAAAATGTATTCTCAGAAACCCAATTTAGATGATTGGTTAAAGAAAATAAAGTACGGGATTTAAACATTAGATATATTTGAAATTAATATTCTTCACTAATGCAAGCCTTGAAAAGCCTTGGTTTAAACACAGTTTCCAGGTCATTCCTTTCCATATATTTGGAAGAGTCTTAGAACTGCATATATAAAAATCTGAATCCAATTTCAATTAAATGCCAGTCCTGTTAATCTCTACCCCAATGAAATCATGTCACCAATAGAACACGTTAAATAGAAGATATTCATCTAATATTTTTGCAATTGATTTTTTTGTAGTTCACACAATATATATTGCTATTTAATGGCACAAAAATGTCTATAACTTATTCATCTAAAACACCCATTGATTCAGCAAAAACACAGTGAGCTGGATAAAGCATTTGGTTTCTTTGTTTGAATCTGGCTGCCGAGAAAGGCAATTACAACTGTCACTTCTCTTTGAGTTTCTGAATTGAAATTCTATTTAACAACACTTTACATCTGTTGGATGATCCTTTCCAATAATAGGTTTGGAAATTTTTAATTGCCAAATGACCCTATTATTTACCATGTTCTAAATTAACTCACCCACAAGTTTATATGAATCTGTAATTTATCTGTTTTATATGCATTCATCTTATGTTCAGATTTTAAATGATATGTGAAACAGGCACTATTATCTGAAAATCTCACAAGGATTTTTCATATCTACAAATCAGATAAAAACATGAGGCAATTGAAATAAAATGACTGCAATTTATCACTCAAAAATGCACTTGTATTTGTAATAAAATATAAATTTGCTCATTGTAAATTGAAAAAAATTGACATAGAAGTAACATTTTAGGAACATTTCTGCTAAATAGTAAGACTACTTTCTGTCTTAGACAAAATTCTTTGTACTGATAATTCTGTACCCTGTTTACACATAGTATTTACTAGTTCCTTGTATACCAACAAGAGTTCGAAGAGGCATACTCTAACCTATTCTATTCCAAGGCAGTAGCAAGGAACACTGACCATTACTATACTTCCACTGATGTTGATGAAGTTATGCAGGCTGTACTGAATTTATTCATTTTCTTTTAATGGCTGATATCCCTCGGGGATTTGTAAACAGCAACACACAATACTGTAAACAGTTTAACTTCTGCTCAATTAGTCCAAGTCATTTGATTAGATTAAAATGAAGATTGCATTTGAATTCTTCTCGAGTTCTTTTCATTTCCTCAAGACACTTTTTTTACTACATATAAAATCCTGAGCAGAACACAATGGGTTTGAATTAGTTTTCTAATTGCAAACCAAAGACACCATCAAATGTCTATTTACTATTGTATAAGGGAAGTCAGTTATTGATAAAACTTCCAAAGTAACAGTACTTTGGACTAAACCTATATTTTAGTATGATGGCCAGTTCTTGCCCCTGATGCTGAACTTGGCAGAGAAGCTGTTGTTGCAGCATCTTCTGCTTCTTCTAGGACTTCCTGAAGCTCTTGGCTTACACTAGACTGAAGGGCAGCAGGTGTAAGCCATTCTTTTGGTAGACAACTCTGGAGAAAAGGAATACAGGAACTGAAATAGGCAAGACGATTCACCCAACGAGGAATCTCTCTTCCGCAGAGAATCTAGATGGAATTGACAAATTAATCATTTTTAAAGTATATGCGGGTTCCTATCGGAAATCAATTTCTCTTAATTGAAATATTCAAATATGCAGTTATAGTACAATGCCAGACTGGATAATATGTTATAAATCTAATTTTCAAACAGAAGTAACTTTGACAATTCTGAAATTGCATGTATACTGTGCATCCATTTTTTCCAACAAAAACTAGTTAGATATAAGTACAATGAAACTTCACTTATACATATTGAGGGTAATGTGGGTCATGTCATAATAATATCCCAAATACCAAAAATAGTCATGTATCGACACCACTTTAGCCACATTAACACTACTTTAGCCATATCTGGGTTACATTAGATGTGCCAGACTTGTCTCTTATTTTAAAGTGATGCCTATATGGAAATTTGCTCTACTGCATCGAAGAATCTGGGAAATGGAGGTCCATTAATAAAAGTTGCAGCAATACTAATAAAAAAAAGTACAATAAACATTATATAGGAGGTCACCAATGCTGTTTCCACTATTATTTTCTCCTTATGTATTTTTTCAATAAATAGAACAAATCCCACACTGTCCTCAGTTGCATCTGAGAAAACACATTATGTGTTCATGAAATAATTCTTTGATAATTTAACTCCTCTCTAGAGATGCAAATTGAATATTCTGTCATTGCCAAGTGCAAACTGGAAACACACTCGTAACTTAAGGAGTCTATATAAGATATAAAAAGGTTACTTTTTTAAATAATATAAATTAAACTTGCCTCTGATAAAGCTGAAGAAAAGTGATTGCAGTTTTTGTGCATTAAGTGATAAGCATTTCCCTTAAATTCTTTTCCAAGTTCTTCTATAATTTTTTCTACATCTTCCTCCATGAAGTCAGTACTTCCAAGAACAACAGCTTCTCTGCAATAAAAGACTGAAAATTAAAGGATTCTTGCAATTCAGACAAGAGTTTTTTTTTCATTTTCATTCTCTTTTGAGAACACAGATACACTTCTGGAAACCGCCTTTTGAACTTCATATTTAATGAATATTTCACAATATTGCTTTTTTACAGATGCTGTGTTTTATATATAGGAACATCAACTTGCTTGTGTAGCTTATTTTTTATCTATAGCAATTATGGGAAGACATATATGTCTTTTTATATGACAGCACAATAAATAATATCTTACTATTCGAAACAAGGATTAAAATTAGCTCCTTTTATTAATAAGAGATGGGACTTTTGTGTTCGGTCATATAGTTTAGAATTTACAAGTTGCAGTTCATAGATACATGGAAACTTTAAATAAATTTCAGAACACACTAATGAAAATTGCTTACTTGAATTTAAATGTTTCCCCTAATTCAGATGCATTGCCTGGTAAAATCTCAAATATTCCAGAGAAAGGATATGGATGACCACCATAAGCAAATTCTGAAAGACAAATTCAAGATATTATCTTTAGTTAGTTGTGCTTTACTTCCCTATACAAATAATTTTCCAAGCATGCTTAAAACTGATATACTATCATATAAAAAATATTGCTACAAAATCTAGACAAACCTTAATACTTGGTACTTATAATATGCAAGATTTATATTTTAGTTGGGAATATTAAGTTAAAAGATAGTAAGGCAAATGCTATTTATGCCAGGTAAATCTCCCTCTTCTGAGGGAGACAGGTGGTTAAAAAAGATGAACTATAAACAAGCAAACAAAGTATCTCTATGTATAACCATGGAAAAAAACCAGAATTATTGCAGTTTTGGCTGTAGTAAAATTTGCCACACTCCCCTGGTAAGATGAACATACAGTGGGGCAAAAAAGTATTTAGTCAGCCACCTATTGTGCAAGTTCTCCCACTTAAAAAGATGAGAGGCCTGTAATTGACATCATAGGTAGACCTCAACTATGAGAGACAAAAAGAGAAAACAAATCCAGACAATCACATTGTCTGATTTGGAAAGAATTTTTTTTGCAAATTATGGTGGAAAATAAGTATTTGGTCAATATCAAAAGTCCATCTCAATACTTTGTTATATATCCTTTGTTGGCAATGACAGAGGTCAAACGTTTTCTGTGGCACACACTGTTGCTGCTGGTATGTTGGCCCATTCCTCCATGCAGATCTCCTCTAGAGCAATGATGTTTTGGGGCTGTCGCTGGGCAACATGGACTTTCAACTCCCTCGAAAGGTTTTCTATGGAGTTGAGATCTGGAGACTGGGTAGGCCACTCCAGGACCTTGAAATGCTTCTTACAAAGCCACTCCTTCGTGCCCGGGCGGTGTGTTTGGGATCATTGTCCTGCTGAAAGACCCAGCCACGTTTCATCTTCAATGCCCTTGCTGATGGATGGAAGGTTTGCACTCAAAATCTCATGATACATGGCCCCATTCATTCTATCCTGTTCACGGATCAGTCGTCCTGATCCCTTTGCAGAGAAACAGCCCCAAAGCATGATGTTGCCACCCCTGTACTTCACAGTAGGTATGGTGTTCTTTGGATGCAACTTAGCATTCTCTCTCCTCCAAACACAACGAGTTATGTTTCTACCAAACAGTTCTACTTTGGTTTCATCTGACCATATGACATTCTCCCAATCCTCTTCTGGATCATCCAAATGCTCTCTAGCATACTTCAGACGGGCCCAGACATATACTGTCTTAAGCAGGGGGATACGTCTGTGTTGTGACTCAGCAGATGTCTGCTGTGAGTCTTTTCGGGATACAAGATTCATTATGCAGCTGGGGCTTGTTAGAGGCAGGTTTGGAGATAAAAGGACGGATGCTGCCACGTCCTAGTCGCAGGAGTCAACGTTCCTTCGTGCGTACAACATTGCTTGATACACTTGGATAAGTGCTTTGGTGTTTCCTGTAACCCTGATTCAAGGCTACACTGGAGAAGTCATTGCTTGTAAGAGTTGTTTTGTTTTTCATTCCATTATCAAGTCAGAGACTGTATTTATGTTATTTTTGGGCTCGAAGCCAGTTTGAACTGAGAACTGATAAAGAAAGTTCCTTTTAAGTTTATTTGTCTTGCTGTTTGTTAAGAGCCGTGAAGGGGGGACAGAACACGTCTGGCACTGCAGGATCCGAGTCCCTGGCGGCATAGTGTGTTACTGATGGTAGCCTTTGTTATGTTGGTCCCAGCTCTCTGCAAGTCATTCACTAGGTCCCCCCGTGTGGTTCTGGGATTTTTGCTCACCGTTCTTGTGATCATTTTGACCCCACGGGGTGAGATCTTGCGTGGATTCCAGATTGAGGGAGATTATCAGTGGTCTTGTATGTCTTCCATTTTCTAATTATTGTCCCACAGTTGATTTCTCACACCAATCTACTTGCCTATTGCAGATTCAGTCTTCCCAGCCTGGTGCAGGTCTACAATGTTGTTTCTGGTGTCCTTCGACAGCTCTTTGGTCTTCATCATAGTAGAGTTTGAAGTGTGACTCTTTGAGGTTGTGGACAGGTGTCTTTTATACTGCTAACAAGTTCAAACAGGTGCCATTAATACAGGTAATGAGTGGAGGACAGAGGAGCCTCTTAAAGAAGAAGTTACAGGTCTGTGAGAGCCAGAAATCTTGCTTGTTTATAGGTGACCAAAAACTTATTTTCCACCATAATTTGCAAAAAAATTCCAAATCAGACAATGTGATTGTCTGGATTTGTTTTCTCATTTTGTCTCTCATAGTTGAGGTCTACCTATGATGTCAATTACAGGCCTCTCTCATCTTTTTAAGTGGGAGAACTTGCACAATTGGTGGCTGACTAAATACTTTTTTGCCCCACTATATTTCAGATGCTTGGCTAACTGTTCCCATTTATGATCAGTTGCTAAAGTACCCTGTGATCATCTGATTGCCATTTACAATCTTCTCTGCTAGTCTCTCCAGAAAATCAATGAGGAAGCAGATAAGGAAATTTATAAGCAGAATGGACATTGGATTTGTCTGTTCTGCTATCATTTCTGCCTCACTGAAGTGCCAAGGAATTTCCCCTCTGAACACCACTGTTCTTATGATCATCCAGAAGGCCCCTTCTCCAAATTGTCCTTAAAATTATGTGAATGGGGCCTGTTTACAGAATGAAGTGAAGTAACATTAGTAGTCAGCAGCTACAGGACAATAGAAAGCAATAGCAATAATAATTAGACTTATATACCGCTTCATAGTGTGTTACACCACTCTCTAAGTGGTTTAGAGTCAACATATAGCCCCCAACAATCTGGCTCCTCATTTTACCAACCTCAGAAGGATGGAAGGCTGAGTCAACCTTGAGCTGGTCACAATCAAACACCTTGCAGTGGGCAGAACTAGCCTGCAATATTGAAGTCTAACCACTGTGCCACCATGGCTCCCCCCCATTACAAAGAAAGTCAACTGGGGCGTAGAGTGAGCCCAAATCTCCCAGATGCGATGGGGTGGGGAAAAGGCCCAGATCTTTTGGCTATGGTGAGAAACCTGGGTTCTCTCCCTGCCTCAGGAGGCCCAGGTCTTCTCCTGGCATTTCACATAGCAAATCCAACTGGGAGAGCTGGATTGTGATAAATTTAAATTTCAAAACTGATGTGCTGCTCCTTCCAATCTCTTCCTATGAACACAAAAAGTTCCATTTTAATTGTTCCTTGTAATAAAAATATAAGGCTAAAGTTAGGTACATACCTCTACCATATATCTCAATTCCTGAGTGAAATACTCCAATTCCAAGGGAGGAGGTGTATTCATTCATCCAGTACTAGAAAAGAACATGGGAGATGTAGCTAAATGTAAATACTTTTTATTTACATCCCACATGCCAAGGCAATTATCTTTGAGGGGGAAGATCATTTTAATTATTTTCCCTGAAATGTTCAAAACATTGTTTGTTAACCTTTAAGACAGTCAGAGCACAGTGTAATTTAACTAGGTGACAGGAAGCTTAACAATCCAACGCTGCTTTATTTGCTATATTGAAGAACAATCAGACAACTAAATTCAAGCAACTTTTCTCACCCATTAAAAATACCTTTTACAGCTAAAGAAGAGGAAAAGCTTTTTTACTGGACAAAACAGACTGAAACTGATTTGAACATGGATCTGAAAGTTGATTTTAAAATGTTGACTACAAAAGTAATATTGGATATTGCCATATTGGAAATACAAATTAAACTCATGGATGAAGGCTAGTCTTAATAAAGGTGACATACAAATAATAAATCAGAAGAATGACTTGGATAGCTTTCTTATCTTGGCTGTACAAAATAGATATGTTGAAACTAGTGAAGGAATTTCTGAGAGGAGACAGAGAAAATGATAAATCAACTTGTGGGATATTATTTGAAATGATTAAAGATCAAGTTTTTAAAAAGTAAACAGTATAAACCGGATTAATTTGATCAAGATTAAAACATATATTGCTATTTCTGGTAGCTTTTAACAGACATAATTCCCAATAATCAAATCCCAAAATCAGAATTACATTTCTCTTAGTTTGTTGCAAAGACCAAATGTTAGCTTCATTAACAATTCATTGCTTATAATACAAGAAGATATTTTTTCATTCATACCTATCATCTATCATCTATCCTTATAATACAAGAAGATATTTTTTCATTCATACCTCATCCCATTTTCTATAAACTCTTTTAATTTTTTGCTCTCCTTATAAATCAGCAGATCCAATAAAATTAAAAATTAACAATAAAAATTAACAAAAATACTTAATAACACATATAACCTCTTTTTCCATTAGCATATATTTCTTTCATCCCTCATATTCCTGTAATGTCTAACAATTAGACAGTAGGAAAAAAACCTATTAATGCCAAAGTAATCACCCCTTATTTAGATATCAAAAACTAATCTATTACTTCATTAGACATTTTTAAAAAAATACTATATAAATAACCACTCAACATCACCAAAATAATTATTTAACCATATTCCGATACTTAGGTTTGGAGCACCTAGATGTTCGAGAGCTCTAAGCACCTAAAACTTTGTACTTTTTACTGTTTAGGCATCTAGGTCACATAATGATAGAAAGATGATGAATTACAATTAGATTTTGGGATATCCAGTAAGAATAATTGAGAATAATTCTAGGAACATTACCGATGAATTTACAAAAAAAAACCTGTAATGACCATTCAGAAATCTATGTAAAATCGATCTGATGTGAAAATCAAGTATAACAGATGATTTAAGATTAAGTGCTTTATAAAAGAAATATAAATGTTAAAACGTATCAATTATTTCTAATTTTGACTACAAAAAAATCTATCAAATAAAGTATATTCAAATAGGTGTTACAAAGTGGTTATTCCAACAGTGATAACAAAATGAACACATTTTAATCTTGGTTTACAACAACAATTGAGACCAGAATTTCCTTCGCTCAGCAATAGTCACAAGTTGCTAGATCCTGAATGTAACCTTAGCAATGCCAATTGTGGGAATCCCAGTTTTCATCGTTAAGAGAATCCCCACATGTTGTTAATAAGCAAGACCATCATATTGTCACCATTTGTGAACACCTGCTGGTTTCCCCATTGATTTTGCTTGACTGAGAAGACACTGCATCAGCTGGAATTCTGAGGACTGATTGTAAGTCCCTCTTGTTAAACACTACTGAACATTCACTGAGCAAGTGATGTAAATCAATGAATTTCAATACGATGACCTATCTCTGGAAATTTCTTACGTTTTCAACAGAGCTTCCTCTAGAATTCATTTGGTTCCAAACGTTTATTCCAAACTTTCCAAAAACTGCAGAAAACTTTAAATCAAGTTTTCTTGAATATCTTTTATTTCTCAAAAGCAGACTAGAAATACTTGTTAAATCTATGTCTTGTTGTTTTGGTTTTTCTTTGCCCAGTTTGCATCGCCACAGAAAGCACAGTGAAGTTCTGCTTGTGTGTTAGCAGCCCTCAGCAAGGGAGGCAATGAGCTGTTCAATTACTGCTGCAATTGAAGACTGAGAAGGCAGGGGAACTTAATTCATTTGTCAAAAGCTGGATAAAAGCAAATACTATCAGCCCTTCCCTGTGTTACTAATTCATGGTGATTGAAATCACAATAGGCTGCTAAGAGTGCAATCCAATGGCTTGTCCTAAGGTAATAGACCTCCCTTCTGAATTCTCAGATAGAATATAATTGGTACAAATCAGAATGCAGCTGCATAAGCATTATTACAACTCACATTTTGACTTCGCAATGAAGGTAAGCAGCCTTAGGCGTATTTAAGACCAGTAGAGAGAGTATGAAATTAGACATCTACTGTTCAATGTCTTGCAGGTTGTAGACATGGACATGTTTAAACAAGCTGTTTGCAATTTCAACACAAAGTGACTACTAACATAAAATAAATTCTAGTAATTTTATTATAACTCTTATAAATTCATAGAACACACTCAGAATGTTCAATTATTGTACAAAGTTTTGAAGTCACTGACATTAGCAAGAACATCTTATTTTAATGAGCTGAAATTAAAGATAGGCAAGGCACATAGATCCAGACATCCTGGCTTTTTTGGTATTGCACTTCACCCCAAAACACTTTCTAGCTTGGTATTCACAAATTTTATCTTGTTCCCCGAATTATTGCAATCAATATCTTGTCAACATAGCTGCTGAAATCTTAGCATCAACATTTAAAAGAAATATGGGGTAATAACTTGGACATTAGGTGAGATCCTTATCTGCCCTCAAAATTATAGTGATAAAAATCTTTATAATAGGAAACTGGCAGAGCTTTACTTTAATAAAATGCCCGAAATAATTTCAGAAGTGTAAGAGATACTTTCTTGTACAATTTTTAATACCTATCATCCAGAGACCTTTCCAGATTTCATTTTATCAACAGCAACAGATACTGTATGCTGTAATGTTGAGCATATAGCCAGCTCTTCTGGCTCTGTATCTAAAACTTCTGAAAGATGTATTATATCTGAATAATTATCTATCTGACTAGCTATAAGGATATGTATAGAATATATAGTTTTATATAATTCAAAGCATTGAAAGTTAGTCTCATTATAGCTGGGGTAATGTGTTCTTGAAAAACCCCTTACTAAAACTGTTATTTTACCTTGTTCGAATGAGAAATTAACATTATCCAGGTTTCTCTCCTCATCCCCAATATGTTCATTTCATTGGTTTTAAACCATATTCCAAATCCAAGTCATATAATTCAACTTTTCTATTTTGTGATTCAATACATTTTTGATCCAGAAGCATAGTTATTATCTTACTACAAATAAATGCTTTAAAGGTATCTCGAACAAGGTAAAA